CACGGTCCCGGTTTCCAAGCGAGCGAAGACAGTGCATGCCTTAGACCGCTCGGCTACCGTGACCGGCAGTGTATAAGAATAATATATAAGAATTCAGTTCGTACCTCACAGGACACAGATCCGAACCCACGGTCCCGGTTTCCAAGCGAGCGAAGACAGTACATGCCTTAGACCGCTCGGCTACCGTGACCGGCATTTTATCACGTTTACACGCCTTAAATGAGAATAGTTAGGCACATGCATATTTATGAGAGGAAGGATTATTGCAATTAAAAGCCCAAATTATATAACACTGTGGATCTACACATCCACTCCCCATACGTCTTCATGGCCTAGTGCTTAATTAGTTAAGCACGGGGACAGTTTTACCTTAGTATGTAATACTCAGTATGATAATACTAAATATGATAATGTGAAAATTAAGGAACAAAATAATATTTAAACAAAAAAAAAACTCCGTGATTTCAGTCCACAAGCGAACAATACCGACCGAGCGACCGCTGCATGTCGGCGAAGTTAGTGCCAACTTTAGCGGATAGAGGATGTCGCGTGGTCAGCGCAACGAATCACCACGGCCGTTAATTTCGTTTCTCTAGACCGGAGCCGCTATTTCCTTGAAATAGCTCCTCAGTTAACCTCACGAGGCTGAGTGGACCCCGTTCCAGACCCACTACTTCTCAAAGAATCTGGTAGCGCCGGGAATCGAACCCGGACCTCTGGATCTGTAGCCAGTAACTCTGACCATTAGACCTACAGTGATTAATTAGTGAAGATAATTATGTCCTTGACGTTCTCAAGTTGTTACAGTGTGTAGTTATGGGCGATGTTGACAACGTTTCGGAGGTACTGCTGCCTCCGTCTTCAAATTTGTAAAGGGTGAACGTTCAGCTCCTTTTATTATCTGAACTTCGTGGGTTGTCTTGAACTTCGTAGTTGTACTACCAAGGAAACTTATCATCTGAAAAAATATTTCTTTCTCAAATACAATATTACACTGCATTTCCTTCTTCTGCATTACCCACGTGGACTGCATCGTTTACAGCTTGCTTCGTCCCAATTAATTGCTGAAAGGTTATTATTAATACAGGGATCGACATAATAATAATTCATGTACCTAATATTTTATAAACTGTTCTTCAAAGTGGGCGTTCAGTCACTGCCTGATGTCTCCTTGCCTCCCTCGTTTTGTTCTAAGATAACTTAAATTATGTAAAGTAAAGTAAAAAAGTAAAGCTATCCCTGTAACAGGCCGTGGAGGCCCATAGGGTTGTGAGACGTTGAGGGTCCCACATTATCTAGACAATCGGC